CTCAGGGTTAGTGACCAGGGTAACCTGCAGGGTTAGTGATCCAGATAACCCCGGAGGGTTAGTGCCAATAACCGGGGGTTAGGACCAGGTAACCTGAGGGTTAGTGATCCAGGATAACCGGGGGGGTTGTGATCCAGGTAACCTGGGGGGTTTTGATCCCGGATAACCGAGGGTTGTGATCCAGGGTAACCTGGAGGTTAGGACCAGATAACCTGGAGGTTATGATCCAGGGTAACCCCGGAGGGTTAGTGATCCAGGGTAACCTGGGGGGTTAGTGTCCCGGATAACCGGAGGGTTTGTGATCCAGGATAACCGAGGGTTAAGGGGCCAGATAACCTGCAGGGTTTTTTGATCCAGGATAACCTGAGGGTTTTTGATCCAGGAAACCTGGAGGGGTTTTGATCCAATAACCTGAGGGGTTTGTACCAGGGTAACCTGCAGGGTTAGTGAAACCGGATAACCCAGGGGTTGTGATCCAGGATAACCTGGAGGAGTGATCCAGGGTAACCTGCAGGGGTTTGTATCCAGGATAACCTGAGGGGTTTGTGATCCAGGGTAACCTGGAGGGTTGTGACCAGGATAACCTGAGGGTTAGTGACCAGATAACCTGGGGGGTTGTGTCCAGATAACCTGAGGGGAGTGACCCGGATAACCTGAGGGTTAGTGATCCAGGATAACCTGCAGGGTTAGTGACCAGGATAACCTGAGGGGAGTGATCCAGGAAAACCTGAGGGTTTGGGGATCCAGGATAACCCGGAGGGTTAGTATCCAGGAAAACCTGAGGGGTTTGTGATCCCGGTTTAAACCCGGAGGGTTGGATCCAGGATAACCTGGGGGGTTAGTGATCCGGATAACCTGGAGGGTTTTGTCCAGGATAACCGGGGGGGGTAGGATCCCGGATAACCTGCAGGGTTAGGACCAGGAAACCTGGAGGTTATGATCCAGGGAAAACCCGGAGGTAGTGATCCAGATAACCTGCAGGGTTATGATCCAGGATAACCTGCAGGGTTTATGATCCAGATAAACCCGCAGGGTTAGTGATCCAGGGTAACCTGGAGGGTTATGATCCAGGATAACCGCAGGTTATGATCCAGGATAACCTGAGGGTTAGGAACCAGGATAACCGGGGGTTTTGTGACCAGGAAACCCAGGGTTTGTGATCCAGGATAAACCCGGAGGGTTAGTGATCCAGGATAACCCGAGGGTTTTGTGATCCAGGATAACCTGGGGTTTTTTGTCCAGGATAACCTGCAGGGTTTGTGCCCGGATAACCCGAGGGTTAGTGATCCAGGATAACCTGAGGGTTTGTGATCCAGGATAACCTGGGGGGTTTTTTGACCAGGGTAACCTGGAGGGTTAGTGATCCAGGATAAACCCGAGGGTTAGTGATCCAGGAAACCTGGAGGGTTAGTGATCCAGGGAAAATGAGGGTTAGTATCCAGGTAACCTGGGGTTTGTTTCCAAGGGTAAACCCCAAGGTCAGTAACCCCAGGGGGTGACCCCAAAAAGTACCTAACCCCAGGATGCAAAACCCATACCAAAACCCAGGGGGGACCCAACCAGTAACCGTAACCCAGGATGCGAAAACCCAACCAGTACCAACCCCAGGAAAACCCAAACCAGTACGGGGAAACCCCCGGATACCCAAATCACCTAACCCCAGGATGCGACCCACACCAGTCACGTAACACCCACTACCTCTTACGCTGGGTGCCAAAATCAAGTGTATTCTATAGCTTTTCAATATTTATATTTTTTTTTAAATGTTTTGTGACCTGTACCCCTTTAGTTTAATAGTTTAATATGTTTTTTATGCACCCCATCCCCATCCTGTGGGATTAACAAAAATTACAGAGGTCAATTGGGTACAGGGACTGACCCCGGGGTTTTGATAGCTGAACAAGTTAAAAGGTAATGAACCATTCACACGTCACACCTAATTAAAATTGCAATATTTTAAACCCAAATACAGTGGACCCCCGCTTAACATCACCTCCCAATGCGCCCAATTATGTAAGTGTATTTGTGTAAGTGCTTTGTACGGAAATGTTTGGGGTCTGAAAGGGACAATTTACTTCCAATATTCCTTATGGAACAAATTTGGTCTACGGGCCCCTGACATATTTCGGGAATAAAAAAAATATCGTTAACCGGGTCCACTGTTTTAGCTTTTTTTTACGGGGAGCAAAGTCGGGTAATATACCATTGTTGAAAATACTCTGACATTTTTTGAACATTTCCGAGTGATTTTTGTCTCTCATTCACTGTACATAAAAAAGGAAGATAATAAAGTATGCCCTTTTATAGGGGAACTAGGACTGGTCCTCAGACAATAGAGAAATTCCCAAAAATTTTGTATTTTAAAATACACCACATTTGTAATGTTATTTAAACCCACCAGCTGCGTGTATTAAACGCCTGATGTCACTTGTTTACTTTTTGAACATAGGAAAAATTTTTAACATTTCCGCTAATTTCAGCTCATTTAAACCATTTCCAGTACAAAAACAAAATCAAAACACTTTATTTCTGTAAATATCTATCAAAGGCCCCAAAAAATCGCAAATACAACAAAAAAAACATATAAAAAAACACTGAAAAGTCCTGTTTTAATCGAAAATTAGGGTCCATTTTTTCCCCCTCATTAGGGATTATGTCTGCAGGATTTTTTATGTGGTACACATACCACAGATTATTCTCTCATTCTAGCCCAATTTATGCTCCCCGGGCTTTCAGAGTGAGCTGACCCTATGGCGTAGACTACGTTTGACCCTAAATTTAAAGCCGTAGAACTTGGAAAACGGACCTGAAAGGGTTAACATATCACTATAAACTGTCGTAGTGCCAAAAGGGGGAAAAGGGAAAATGTGATCCCTCCCACAAAGATGTCCTTTGCTTCGAACTATGGGGGAAAAAAATTTTAGGGAATCATAATTGCTGGGCAATTCATACCCTTTTAAAAGGCATAAATTGATTAATGAATCTCAGCAGGTTTTACGGGGGGCTTTTCCTGTCTGGGAAATTTATAACTTTTTGAGGAAAATTAAGTCATACACAATAGGGGGAGAAATTTTTCCTGGGTAGAGGCATAGTTGACAAATAGGCAACAGAGATTTTGAATAAATGGGGAAAAATCGTGTGGGGGCACGTCAAAAGCGGTGTTCCACAGGGTCAGTTTTGGGCCCCGTTTTGTTCCAATTTGCAAAAAAAGGAGGGGGGAAAAATAGGACATAACAATTTTTCCCGATACACCAAAATAGGCCTTTAAATTTTCATTCTAATGAGGACTTAGAGCACTCCGGGAAAGTTTTTAATACATAGACTGATGCAGTGGTCGGAGAAGTGGGAGATGCATTTAACCCTTTAAAAGGGCCAAACAGATCGACGTTCAAATCCGTAGCCTCCAAAAAATAAATCTTCATTTTTTTTTTTTCATATTTTTTAAATATAAAAAAAAAAATGGTAGATAAATTTTTTTTTCACATTTTTAAAAGTAAAACATGAAAAAAGATTACATTTTTTACATACTTTTAAAAGTTGAAAAAAAGTATATATACGTTTAAACCATATAAGGGTTAATATTGACAAATGCAAAGTTTCTAAACGTTGGACAGGAAAATAACCATGCCACATATAAACTAAATAATGTAAATCTTTATACAGTGACCCCCGGTTAACGATATTTTTTCACTCCAGAAGTATGTTCAGGTGCCAGTACTGACCGAATTTGTTCCCATAAGGAATATTGTGAAGTAGATTAGTCCATTTCAGACCCCCAAACATACATGTACAAACGCACTTACATAAATACACTTACATAATTGGTCGCATTCGGAGGTGATCGTTATGCGGGGGTCCACTGTATTACTAAGTGTGAAAAAGATTTGGAAGTTCTGGTTAGCAGTAATCTAAATCCAGGACAACAGTGCATAAGTGTTCGCAATAAAGCTAACAAATCCTTGGCTTCATATCAAGAAGTTATAAATTATAGAAGTCCTCAGGTTGTTCTTCAACTCTATATATCTTTGGTTAGGCCTCATTTAGATTATACTGCACAGTTCTGGTCACCGTATTACAGAATAGATATAAATACTTTGGAAAATGTACAAAGGAGGATGACAAAGTTGATCCCATGTTCAGAAACCTTCCCTATGAGGATAGACTGAGACCCTGAATCTGCACTCTCTAGAAAACTGTAGAATTAGGGGGATATGATTGAGGTGTATAAATGGAAAAACAGGAATAGATAAGGGGATGTAATAGCATGTTAAAAATATCTAGCAAAGACAGGACTCACAGCAGTTGTTTTAAGATGGAAAAATTCAGGTTCAGGAAGGATATAGGAAAGTACTGGTTTGGTAATAGAGTTGTGGATGAGTGGAACAAAACTCCGAGTTTCATCATGGAAGCTAAAACATTGTGTACTTTTAAAAAATTGGTTAGATAAATACATGAGTAGGGGTGGATGGGTGTGAGTTGGTCCTGACTAGCTTGTGCTAAGAGGTCTGATGCAGCGCTCCTTCCTTAAGTGGATGTGGCCTGGACCTGAGTAGGTTGAGTCAGTGGCTTAAGCCGGTAGGTTGGCTTGGACCTGCCTCGCATGGGCCAGTAGGCCTGCTGCAGTGTTCCTTCTTTCTTATGTTCTTAAGTTTCATTCTCCTATGTGTGGGTTATTTATGTATTGCTTCAGTCACGATGTTGTGTCTTGTTATTCTTTATTATTATTTTTATTATTATTAATTATTATTATTATTATTATTATTATTATTATTATTATTATTATTATTATTATTATTATTATTATTATTATTATTACTGTTGAATAACTAAAGTGTAATCAAGACTCATCATTGGTCATTAAAAAACCCAATTGGAGACAGAAACACAGAAGGTTGACCAATCAACCTCCAGTGTTTGTGTACATGTGGGTTATTATTGATTTTTTATTATTATTCTTATTCTTGAGTGGTTGTTTGTAACGTATGTGTTGTGTTGTGAGACAGGAGATGTCTGGGACAGAACTGGATGGGATCGCAAGCCTGGAAGATATGTTGTTCCAAGCTGCCGGAGACTTGCCCCAGAGTGGCCACACTCCCGACGACTGTGAGGTGGTCCACACCGGGGCCCATTCTACCTCCTTATTGTTGCACGAGCGCAGGTATTCCTGGGTGTTTTTTTGTGTGTTTTTGTTTGCATTTTTTACGTGTTTTTTTGTGTTTTCTTTGCATGTGTTTTTGGTTATTTGTTTTTATTGTGTTTTTTGTGTGTTTTCTTGCACCTTATTTGCATTTTTTTGCATGTGTATTTTGGGCACATTTTTCGCCAAGTTAGGGCATGTATCATTACCCATTTGTAGGCATCTCATCTTTATAATAAAATTTGTATCCATGGATTTGGTTTCTGCAGTTTTCAGTTATCCACGTTGAGCATGGACCAAAAATAAACCTTAATTTTGCTTAATAATGGCAAAGTGCAAAAGTAGTGACGCTCGCATTTCTTCAAAGCCTAAGAGAAGCTGTGAAGTGCTTCCCATCAGTGACAAAGTGCTAATTCTTGACTTATAGTGCATAATTTTTAAATTAAACTGTATCAGAGGTATGTATGTAAATGAGAAACAACTTATAAATAGGGTTCACTACTATTCATGGTTTTGAGTATCCATCGTAGGTGTTGGAAAGTATCCCCTTCACATACAGGGTGACTATTATACAATAATTTTGGCTTAAAACTATTGTGGAATTTTTATCTATGAACATTAGAGTTGCAAGCATTCACCCAAACTTAACCCTTTGAGGGTCGACAGGCCCACTCCGAGACGCGTTCTCAGGGTCGGCCAAATTTAAAAAAAAAAATAATTTTCTCTTATGAAAAGATAGAGAATCTTTTCCCGGTCATAATGACACCAAAAGTTTGAAATTTGATGGAAAACTTACAGAATTATGCTCTTGCGAAGTTAGCGGTCTCAGCGATGTTTACGCAAACGGGAATTTTGCCCACTTTGAGCCCCATTTTCGGCCAATTTCACCGTACTAGTCGACAAAAAACATGAATATTTAGCTAGAACTCCATTTTTTCTATCGAATGAGTGCAAGAAACCACCCATTTATCAATTTCAACTATCCAGTACAGTGGTCAGAATTTAGCAATTTTGCCAATTTCACACAAATTTCAAAAGATACCAATTTCCGAATAGGTCCAGAATAAACAAGAAAGACATTCCTGGCACTAAAATGACATTTCCTCTGTTCATTAGTCACTCTCAAGGCCCCTCTTATATTCTTTTGCTTTCCACTTTGAATTTTATTCTCACAAAAAATAGAAGATTTACTGTTATGCAGACTACTGCATTAGTGTAAAAAATGGTATAAAATAATATTGGCACACTTGCAAAAGAATATTAGACTCACCAGTTGACGTGTATTGGAACCTTGGCATGATTGTTTACTTTTGAACTTTGGTAAAAATCGAACATTTCTGCTACTTTGAGCTCAATTTCAAGGTACTTTTCATTGTAAAACCCGTCAAAATCATCTCAATTTCTGTAATATGTCTTCCATTCTATAAAATGAGACCAAGAAAAACTAGAATACAACAATAAATACCATACGAAAATACAGTGCAAAGTCGCTGTTTTATTCCAAAAAAAACGGTCAAAGTTTTTTTTTCTCATTATGCACTGTGTGCTGCAGGATTTTTTTATACTGTGCACACTGACCACATAGACCCATTCTTTCATATGTAGGCCTACCAGCTTTCTCCCACTAGATTTGAGGGCCTAAAATTTAGGCGTACTAGTACGTCAAAAACCCTGGGTCGTAAGCCGTACTAGTACGGCCGAAACCCTCAAAGGGTTAATAACAAACAGTATTTTGCTGCTGCTATGATAGTCAAATGGATGACTGTTTAACCTTTTTAGGGTCTGTGCCGTAGTACTACGGCTTTGAACTCTTGTGTTGGTGCTGTAGATCTGTGTAATGAGCTCAGCTCGCTCAGATAAGCCATGAGCTGTAACCGTTGGTCTAGATATGAGTGGATGGGCTGTATGGTGAGTGTTCACCATTTATTTATTTATTTATTTATTATTAATTTGGACATGATACAAAGAAATACAGTGGACCCCCGCATAACGATTACCTCCGAATGCGACCAATTATGTAAGTGTATTTATGTAAGTGCGTTTGTACGTGTAATGTTTGGGGTCTGAAATGGACTAATCTACTTACAATATTCCTTATGGGAATAAATTCGGTCAGTACTGGCACCTGAACATACTTATGGAGTGAAAAAATATCGTTAACCGGGGGTCCACTGTACAGTGGTTAAGTGTACATGCCAAAAGCCCCTTGTATGCAGAGCATTATGGGCAGGCTTAAAATTAACTTAAGATTAACTAAGCAATGATATATTCATTGGTAAAAATTATAGTAAACAAATAACAATTAAGCACAAATGAGTATTTTAAAGACAGGTCATTTGGTCATTTGCATTCAGTAGAATGGAGCATTCTGTTAGGTAATGTAATTAAAAAAAAAAAAAGTTTGATAGGGTCACAAGTTAAACGTTTATGAGATACAATTATTCAGTATTTATTTAGTTGTGGGTGAGTAAGTGATTTTTAAGAAGGGACTTGAATTTATAAACAGATAGTGTTTCTTTTATATTCACAGGTAATGAATTCCAGATATTAGGGCCTTTTATGTGCATTGAGTTTTTGCATAGTGTGAGATGGACACGAGGAACATCAAAGAGTGATCTGTGCCTTGTGTTATGGTCATGTGTTCTGTTGAGGTTGGTAAGGAGATGTTTGAGGGGAGGGTTAATATCAGAGTTAAGTGTTCCATGTATGTAGTAGGTGCAGAAAATAAGTATGGGGTTTTGTATGGTGAGTAGGTTTAGAGTTTTGAATATTGATGAGTGTGCTGTCTGTAGTGGGAATTTATCATTCTGACTGCAGCCTTTTGTTGGGTAATTAATGGTCTGAGATGGTTTATTGTTGTTGAGCCCCATGCACAAATTCCATAGGTGAGATAGGGGTAAATAAGTGAGTGATATAGGGCCAGGAGGGCTGGCTGTGGAACATAGTACAGTGGTCCCCGATTATCGTCTATAATCCGTTACCTGGAAGTGGGACTATTAATCGAAAGTTACGATTACGAATCAATTTTCCCCATAAGAAATAATGTAAATTCAATTAATCCGTTCCTGACACCCAGAAGTATTAACCCTTTGGGGGTTTTGGACGTACTAGTACGTCTTACGACCCAGGGTTTTTGACGTACTAGTACGCCTAAATTCTAGCACCCTCAAATCTAGTGAGAGAAAGCTGTTAGGCCTACACATGTAAGAATGGGTCTATGTGGTCAGTGTGCGCAGTATAAAAAAAATCCTGCAGCACACAGTGCGTAATGAGAAAAAAAAAACTTTGACCGTGTTTTGGGATTAAAACAGCGACTTTGCACTGTATTTTCGTATGGTATTTATTGTTGTATTCTAGTTTCTTGGTCTCATTTTATAGAATGGAAGACATATTACAGAAATTGAGATGATTTTGACTGGTTTTTACAATGAAAAGTACCTTGAAATTGAGCTCAAAGTAGCAGAAATGTTCGATTTTTACCAAAGTTCAAAAGTAAACAAATCATGCCAAGCGTCCAATACATGTCAACTGGAGTCTAATACAGTGGACCCCCCCCATAGCGACCTTAATCCGTGCAAGAGGGCTGGCTGTTATGCGAAATGTTCGCTATGTAAATTTGAATTTTCCCATAAAAAATAATGGAAATCAAATTAATCCGTGCAAGACACCCAAAAGTTTGAAAAAAAAAATTTTACTACATGAAATATACATTTTCCTACACACAAAGAGAAGGATACATGCACAATATTTAGAGTAGTACATGCACAATATATTTTGTGCATGTACTAGTCTATTAAATAAAGAATAAATGACACTTACCTTTATTGAAGATGCAGCAATGACTGATGAGACACTGTGTCCTGGGAGTGCCTTTTCCTGAGTACTGTAGGTCCTGTTTGGTATTTTCTTCAGAACAGGCCTTATCACACTGTGTATGTCACTACGATTCTTAAATCTCTCAAACCAACCTTTGCTGGTTCTAAATTCACCAATATGAGCACTAGTTCCGGGCATTTTCCCTTTTTCACCTGGGTGTTAGTCGACTGGTTGGGTTGCATCCTGGAGACAAGATTAAGGACCCCAATGGAAATAAGTTAGACAGTCTTCGATGACACTGACTTTTTTGGGCTATCCTGGGGGGCAAATCCCCTGGGGTTAATTGTTTCTTGGTATTCTCAATAAGCCACACCAACAACGGTGCTACAGCAGCAGCAGCAGCAGCTGACGATGTTACAGCAGCAGCAGACGATGCTACAGCAGCAGCAGCAGCAGCAGACGATGCTACAGCAGCAAAAGACCCATGCTACAGCAGCAGCAGACGATGCTAACAGCACAACTGACGATGTTACAGCAGCAGCAGACGATGTACAGCAGCAGCAGCAGCAGACGATGCTACAGCAGCAGCAGCAGCTGACGGTGGTACAGCAGCAACGACGATGCTACAGCAGCAACAGACGATGCTACAGCAGCAGCAGACGATGCTACAGCAGCAGCAGATGATGCTACAGCAGCAGCAGACGGTACTACAGCAGCAGGAGCAGCTGACGGTGGTACAGCAGCAGCAGCTGACAGTGCAGCAGCAGCTGACGGTGATACAGCAGCAGCAGCAGCTGTACCACCATAGTAGCGATGGTTGATTGGGGTTTATTATACAACCTGGCCAGCTCGGAGACACGCACTCCACTTTCATACTTATCAATGATCTTTTTCTTCATCTCCATAGTAATTCTCACCCTTATTGCTGTAGGGTTGGCACTAGAAGCTTTTTGGGGCCCATGGTCACTTATTTTCCAGAAAAAAATCACCAAAAACACTGTAATAATACAAAATGTTCCGATTGTATGCTTGGATGTTACCGCGGAGGCTGGCTGGTAAACAATGCCACCCGCGGAACATGTGAGCGTGGCTCAGGCCGCACATTGGACGCGTTTCGGACGAAGGCCGCTGAGCGGGTTTTTGGGCGCTATGCGGGGCAAAATTTTAGCGATCAAAGCGTCCGCTATGCGGATTGTCCGCTATGC